TGAAATGGCACAAGTTACTCAAATTGTACAATCAAACCAAGTTCAATCCCCACCACGTCCCTGGTAGTACCGCGCTCAACTCGTTTCTCCGCGCAGCAGCCTTGTTCGTCAAGGTTCGTGTTTCGGAGTTATAGAGTTGAGAGAGGGTTGTATAACCACAAAAAAGTAGCCTCCTCGTCTGTAGTGGCCTTCTCGGCCTTGAGGAGGTGAATTAAAATAAAAAAAAAAAAAAAAAAAAAAAAAAACTCAAGTAATAGTTGAACATTTGTTAAGTTCTTTAAGAGTTATAGTAAGTCTTATTAGTAATAGACTTTTTGAAAAGCATATTTTTTTACTTATGTGAATAAAAATGAATAATATTTATACAAAGAACTATGAAAATTAATAAAAATATTAATCTAAAATGAAAAAACATTTAGATTAAAATGTAATACAATGTTTCTGTATGTATTGCTAACTCATTAAAATATATAATTTATTTACATTTAAAAGTAATTCTTATTTTTTTATCATAATTTATATAACATGTAAAACTTTTCTAAATGAGCAACTGTTGCTTGAAAAAGTAATTTTTTTACAAGTAAAAGTTATTTGCATTAAAAGACTTTTTACTTTTACTTGCAAATGTAATTTACTTTTATTAGTAAGTCACGTAAAGTAATTTACTTTGAAAAGTTATAATTATGTAAAAAATTTACACAAAATAAATTAAAAAAAAAAACAAAAAAAAAACTACATCCTAAAAACAAATTACTTTTATGTGTAAAAGTAAAAAATTAGCAAAGAAAATTTACATAAAAGCAATTTAAAAAAAAAATGTTATTTACAAGTACAAACAAAAGTAAATTTTGTCTTTAAAATTTTATACTTTACTTTGTAAGTAAGTAAAATGTAAGTTACAATATTTACTTTCTCAAAGAACATTTCAAGCTAATTTAACATAATTTATGAGATAGGTAGTGTATTCAAAACCATTGCCTGTTTGTGGGCACTTCTGGGTATTACTTCAGGTATTATTCTGATGCATGTAGGCAATGTTTGTGGTGGGGCATTGTGAAAAGATTTCTTTTCACAAATATCATGAAAAGCGATTCTATTATATATAGAATTAGAGGCAAATATATGCGGGTTAGGGTGGTTCAAATTTATGTCAAAAATTTTTTACTACTAGAGTGGAAGTTTATAGGGTGCACAGACCCTGGTTTTATATATTATTATTATTATATATATATATATATATATATATATATATATATATATATATATATATATATATATATATATATATATATATATATATATATATATATATATATATATATATATATATATATTTTTTTTTTTGAAGTTTAAGGGTGGCACACGTCCCAAAAGTACTTTTTTTTTACCTTTTTTTTTACGTTTTGAGATCATACCGCTGTCATTGAAATAGTTGTGCGTATAGAAATAATGAAAAAATTCATTAGATTTGAAAAAAAATTGTTAGCACACGCGAGTCACGTTACGTGACTCGCGTTTGTTACCCTTTAACATTATTAAATTCAAATTATTATTTTTTACATATTCTTGTAAGGACCTAAACAAACAAACAAAAAAAGCACTCATATATTTTTTAAAAAAGTTAAAAAATGTCCTTTAAAAATACCTAAGAACAATTTTTTTTCAAATCTAATGAATTTTTTCATTATTTCTATATGCGCAACTATTTCAATGACAGCGGTATGATCTCATTGTTCAAATGAAATAATCATACTCAATGTTCAACATCTGCTATTTTAAAAACATTAAACAAAATTTATTAATATGGTTAAACTGTTTATTTTTAAATAAAAATCAATTTCATTATAATTTATTTACATAAAATAAAAAAAAAATAAAAAATTATGCCAAAAATTCTTAAAAAAAATGAAAAATAGAGGCCAAGAAATATTCTTAGTTAAAAAAACTAGAAAGACTCTATCATCTATTTAATTTGCAACTGCAGAAGAAGTTATACAGTATTATCATTACTTACATTAGTCCAAACCATCAACCTCTCTCAAAAACTTAGTTTGTTGTCTAAACAAAGGTTCTACATTTACACCAAATTGTCCTCGACTTCTTTCCTAAAAATAAGACTTATCAAATAACTGTACAGCTAATCTAAATTAGCTTTGACGGGAAAATATTTAAAGAATATACAGATAAAGTTTCAGTTACAAGAGAAAGATTAGCAGTACTAGTGAAAGTGAATGGGAAAACTGAGTTCCTAGGTATTCCTTATATTAAGTCAGGTTCTGGGGAAAATCAGTTCAAAACTGTTTATAATCTATTAGATTCTTTTGGCCTTAGTCATCATATACAGTGTATATGCTTTGATACTACAGCTTCCAACACTGGAAAGCACCAAGGAATTATAACAAGAATGGCTGATAAGCCGGGAAGGCCACTACTTTTCCTTGGCTGTAGACATATATTGGAAAGACAAATTGACAACTTTAACAAGATATATTCCAGTAGTAAAACGTCTGGTCCAGAAAACCAGCTCTTTTAACACCTGAAATCTGTCTGGAATGATCTTGAAAAAGACATTGTTACATTGAAAAGGATTGAAACTCCAAATGGAATTTAGATAAATAAACAACATCTTGAGGCTAAAAAATTCTACAGAGATGTAATAGATTATAGGATCTACAAAAAGGTTAATTACAGTTTTAAAGTAGCTTGCTTAGAATAATTTAAACAATCTGTATACACAATCATAATATAATAAATCATAATTATAAATATAAAAAATCCTTTATTTTTAGGATGGTAAATCAAGAAAGGATTATCAAGAGTTAGCAGAACTATCTTTGATGGTAATTTCTCAAAAATATAGGTTCAAATTTCGTATTCCTGGTCCAATACATCATGCAAGATTCATGTCAAAAGCGTTGTATTATCTTAAAATGTATTTATTACTGGAAGCTATTCCAAGTTTATCAGAAGAAAATAAAGAAGAGATTCGTGAAATGGCTGTGTTTGTCAGTATCTTTTACACTCAATGGTTTCTTAGAGCAGTATCGACAACTGCTGTGCTTTATCAGGTTAAAAATAATCATTATAGATAAGAAAAAAGTGTAAAAAATGATGAGTTAATTTTTGAATTGATGACTTTAATATTGTTAAACATATTTTTAAGATATGAAAGCTCTGTGGCAGATGAAGAGGTTAATGGATATAAATTTTCTTGGAGCTACTTAAGCAATAAAGTCATTTGACAGACACAGCTGGTACCTTGATGCTGCCTTAGTTGTGCTTGCATTAGCAGATAAACATTGCCCAAACAGAGAAGATATTGCCACATCATTATACAATACACTTCCCACAAACCAATAGTGTATCCACTTGAGCGTGTTATGGTCAATAAAGAGGTTCTTCACTCTCTAGACTTTTCACAAGATCAGCCTCCATCTCTTTGTTCTCTAATAACTGAGCAATCTTGGCTCATCTTTGATAAGATGGGACATGGAAAGGGTGAGTTGCAGTGGCTTAAGATCCCCTCGCAGTTTTGGAAGTTTAACAATTTTTATCTTGAGTTTGAATCTACTATTAAATCTCTAGATGTGGTTAACAATTTATCAGAGAGGACCATAAATCTAGTAAAAGAGCTGATTAGAAAATCAATGAAAGAGAAGAAGATACAGGACTTGTTCTAGTTAAACCATGTTTACAAAAGAAATAAAAAAGGGACAAAGAAGATTTAACATCAAATGTAATTAGTAGTATTTAAAAAATGCTGATTGTTGGTTATTTAATCAAAGTTTAAAATTACGTTAAATTTACTTTTATTTATTCCCACCTGCAACTCGTAACAAAGTTATATTATTAGGGGAGTGGTAATCCAACTTCATCTAGATTCATCTCTAAGTTTAAAATCAAAAATTATGTAATACATTAAACTAGATTTTGTAATAAAAATAACATAGAGCTTTACGTTGAGCTTTTAACCCCCTCTTTTTGGGGAGGGTGGCAACTTTGCATGGTCATAACTTTTGAACGCTACAATATTATTAAATGAAATTTGAAATCTGTTGATAAATGTAAATTTAGTTCAGAATAACAATAGTATAAATTTGGGCAACTTATTTCCCTCATTTTTAGGGTAGGGGGGGAGGGCTAAGTTTTATGGTTTTTCTAGATCTCAGGCTTCGATCACTGGAACTTTTTCAAAGCATCACAATTTGATATATGTATAGGTATTTGTAGTTTTGAAGTTTTTTTTATGTCTACATGTTATTTATCACAAGCAGCAACTAAAGCTACCGCGATCACTGAAATAAAGAAAATCTTTTTTTTTGTCAATATTTAGTGACTTTTCTATAAGTTTTTGAATGTTGAAAAAAAAATACAAATAGAGTGCCTTTTTATTTTTTTAATTAGGTTCTTGCAAGAATATGTAAAAAATAATAATTTCTTACATATTCTTGCAAGAACCTAAAACGCCAAAAAAAGGGTAAAAAAAAAATACTTTTGGGCCGTGTGCCACCCTTAAACTTAAAAAAAAAAAAAAAAATCCTATATATAAAATAAGGGTCTGTGCACCTTATTCCACTCTAGTGGTAAAAAATTTTTGACCTAAATTTGAACCACCCTAAGGCGGGTATACCACTAGAGTAGAGACAGGCCCCTGCTGTGTAAAAGCTATAGTGATAATAGGGGCTCCTAAATAATCATTATTTTTTTATTTTATTATTTTTTGAGCAGAAATAGGTTAGTAGCCCTAATGAAAATTTGGCAGAGAGATGGTGGAGGAAAGAGGAGGAGTAGGAGAAATAATTTCTTGCTACACTACTGGATGCTCCACATGCATGCAAACCTTGACTAAGTCATTGTTTGTTAGAGTGTGCTTTTTCTACAACTTTTTTTTTTGTATTTGAAATTGTTAAAAATGTTATATAGCATTATTTTTTTGTTAATATAATGCTATATAACATTTTCGCTATCCGTAAGGATATTAACTGCTTTAACAGATTTCAAAAAATATAACTCATTTAAACTATCTAATATAATCTATCTGATAAAAGAATTGTTTATCAGATACAATCTTTTATTGCCTTTTATCGCATACAATTCATTTAAAAAAAGATGGTAATGAAAGCCAGTCAATCTTATACTACAAATTCTACTATAAGTTGTGGACACCCTAATAACCCTTTTTTTGTAGAGTTGACGTCCAAACTGCACAAAGAAGAATAGAAAAATAAAATCTTATTCAACTAAAATAGTGCTTTAAAATGAACTTGTAATTTTTTTTCAAATGTTAATTTGACTTCACAAGTTGTTTGTTCGTTATCAATTGTTCCAGAGTCTTGCGACTGATTTTTCACAACAACCATGCTAAATAATGAAGCCAAAATACAAAACTTAGAATAAAATTGAAAAATGCAGAGCCATTTCCGAAGCAAGAACAATAAACCAGACAGTCTTTTAAAGTAAATTAAAATAAATTTTCACACATTCAAATAACTAATTTAAATAACATCAAGATTAATTAAAAAAAATTAAAATTAAAATTAAAAAAGTAAAAGTAATTAAACTTAAAAAAAAAGGATAACTTTTCATAACCACAACAGCCACTTAGTTTAATGTATTTAATATAACAAATTTAGTAGGGTGGTTCAAAAAAACACAATTCTTAATTTAAAATTATACGGTTGATTGTGAAGAAAAGTTTCTATATGATGAAATAACATCAAGTTAATTCATCATATTGAACACTACTAAATCATGACCATATAAACTTTGAACAACCTCCCCAATTATATAGAGGATTTAAAGTATCATCTTTAATTAAGTTTTAAGTACGTCTGACAATCAAACTCTGTTCCTCATTCAAAAGTTCAGTGCGAAAGTTAATTTAATCCTTTTTTCATAAATAAGTAATCAAATGATGCAGACTTTATTGCTAAATTTTGTCAAAGAATAACAAAGAAAATTGAGTTTTTATAAGTGACTTTACCTATAAGGTCATTCGTATTTTTCAATTAATTTTCAATTATCGAATTAATTTTCAATTATCAAATTAAATTTTTTTTCAAAGTTAATTTGGTTTATTGATTACTGTTTTTTTTATTGCATAAAGATATCTTTAATGCAGCGGCAAATTTTTTATTTTCATAACTTTTTTTTCTCTAAATTTGTCGTTACAAATAATTACTTTTCTTTTGTAAAATATACAAATGACGGGGGGCAAGAAGAAGACAAAAATAGTCTTATTGCCACGCCCCTAATAATCTGTAAATAATATAGTCATAAAAATTATGTTTAGTGTCAGAACGCGAGGGGGAGGGGGACAAGGTAAATAGTGCAAGGCAACAAGGGTTGGGGGATTTTATTTTGGGGCACATTACCTCCAAGAAATATGTATAATTTTTTTCTTGTAATTTGTTAAATTAATATTTTCTATGAAAATATAAATTACAAGAATACAAAATACAAGAGTTAATTTTAAATTGATTTAAATACAAGTGGTATTGTGTGGTATTATACCACACCAAAAGCAATGCAAAAAGCTTTTACAATTTGAAAATGTAGTGATTACTTTTATTACCGAACCAATTAGAATTACTTAATCAACAGCATCTTATTGTATAGTTACGTACAATTGAAACCTTTTAATGCGTTGTTAAAAACTATATTAAACTTATTTAAAGACTTTATGGATAACTAATAATATAATAATGTCTACTTGCATAAATTTTGAGATGTAATATCTAGTAGATGGTAGATTAATCTGTATTTTAAATTAATCGATTAACGATTAACTTTTGAAAAATTAATCCATTAATTTCGATTAATTTTTACAAATAAATTCTTACAATTTAAAATAAGTACTTACAATTACTTATGATTTTAATTCACTTTTTTCTATCAGATATGATCCTAAAAAACAGAAGTCATCATTTAAACTAGTTCTTTACTTAGTAATAAATAAACCTGGAGCACTAAAACTATTTTCTGCTTCTACAGAACATGGTGAAAGACTAAGAATGACATTGTAAATCTTTTCTAATGAGTTCGGCCTTTTTCTAGCGCTTGTAAGTACTGCCATTTCTTGTTTAATACAAGTCAAAACTACTTGAGGGGATGACTTACTAGTTAGTCCTTTTTTTACATAAATGGTTCCAAAACCTTTCTTCAGAACTCAGATTTCAGAGGTTCTAGAACGCCTAACTTTTCTAAAACTTTATTTTGCAATCTGTTTGAAATCAAAGCAACTCTCGTGATTTATTTTGTAGTCAAAAATCTAGAAACTATTTTAAAAACTTGTGCTAGAAATTATTTTGAAGAAAAATGGAAGAAAAATAATTATTTTAAAACCTCATTATAAGAATTATCTCTAAATATACTAACAATGATGCATTATTTATCATATAAAATTAGAAAGAAAAGTTAGGGTATATATACATTTATATATAGGTTTTGAATAAATCAAACAAGTATTTTCAGCATTATTCCTTTTTTTTCTATTTTATAACTATTTTTATTTTTGTTTCTTTTTTCCTCTTCGAAATTATTCTCAAAAATATTTTTTTAAGAGTTTTTATTCGAAATATTAAAATTTTTTAATCAGTCTTTGTTAAAAACAGTTTTTTTAAAAAAAGATTTCCCATTTCAAAATTTCCCAACAAAACTTTTCTATTTCAAAAATTAAAAAGTAAAAACCTACTTAAATTCTAATTAAACTTAAATATAAAAACTCTGGAATAGTTAATTAATTAAAAAAGATTTGGTAGAAAGTAAAATGTCATATTAATTGTTAAGTGTAAACCAGAGCAAAACAAATTAAAAAAAATTTTAACTACAAGAAAAATTATAAAAATATATATTTTATACTTTTTATTTTTATATTTCATATTTATACTTTTTTATATAAATACATATTTTGTATATTGTTTATTCTATTCTATCATATGATTATTTTAGTACTATTTCATTAAAATAAAATACTATTTTATTTTAATGAAATAATTCTAAAAAATAGATCAAAAAAAAAAAACAACTCAAAACATCTGAAGATGATCAAGAGAACCAGCAGTGCAGCAACAGCATACATTATATTTTATCAAGTGATCCACACATTTTATTATGTGCTTATTTTAGAAATCCCTATCAATAAATAAAAAATAAAATAATTTTTATTTTAACAAATTCTGAAAAAAGATTTAAAAAAACATCTGAATGAAGTACCTGTAAGATCTAAAGGGCCAGCAGCACAGCAACAGCATCCAACTTCTTTGTGTGTTGAACCACTGAGTACTGTGTTGTAATTTGGCAAATTTGTATCTATTACTTCATTTATAGTAAATGCTCTTGTTGTTTTATGGTTAAACTTCCATGGTTTATCAATTTCAGCTAAGTAAATAAAGAAAAAAGTTAACCACAATCATCTGCCTTCATCATCATGATCATCATGATCATCATGATCCTCATCATCATGATCATTATGATCATCATGATCATCATCATCATTATCATCATGATCATCATGATCATGATCATGATCATGATCATCATCACCATCATCATCATCATCATCATCATCATCATCATCATCATCATCATCATCATCATCATCATCATCAACATCAACATCATCATCATCATTGCCTTCATCATTACAATCATCATCATTATCATCATCACCATCATCAAAATTATTATGGCTCTAACTTTGTTAAATTTCAAAAATCTTTTGGGAGAAAAAGTTTGTTTCAACTTCTTTAGTTGGTAAATCAATTTTTTTGTAATTGATTTAACAAATTGCCTATATTAAAGCATAAGGCAAAATAACAACACATTACTAGAAGTTGCTGATTGGTTAACAAGAAGGGTGCAAACATGGTGGAATATGGAAGAATGGCTGTAAAGGTGGAAGATGTAACATTGGCTTCATAGAATAATGACAACCCATTATATTCCATTGCTCTACTATCCCCTTCTCAATTTTTTAACATATAAACAATTTAATTAACAAATAAATTTAAATACAAAATTAAGTAATAAAAAGAATTTGTTATCATGCTAAATTGAAAAAGTAAACAAGATCTCAAGGTATTTAGCCGAGACCTTGGAAAAACTTATACATTGAATTTTAAAGCAATAAATACAGTGCTTCCAGAAAGTATTAGCGCACACAGAAATTTTTTATGTAAGTCAACTTCAAACTAGTGTTATTCAAAAACAATTAAAGACTAATTGATCTTTTTTTTTTTTTAATTAAAGATAAAAGAAAACACAATTACAAAGTGTCAAATATAAAAAAGCAATTCTTTTTTTATTACCTTTAATTTATTTAGAATACAATAAATGACAAATATAAGATAAAAAATGTGTGCAAAAGTAATAGCGCGCTTGCAATCTTTAAAAAACTCTAAGAAAATTTAATGTTTATATGGCCACCTTTGTTTTAAAGACATACCAAGACTCTATGTGGCATGAAATCTATATGTTTTTTTGATTAGATCTTGTGGCACGGTATTGCACAAGGCTTGCATTTGAGTCTTGAGCTGCACCAAGTAAGTAAACTAGCCTTTTTACAATTTACAGTCCATCCAACTGCAAAGATTCTAAATAGAATTCAAATCGGTGAGCGAGCGGGCCAAGGCATCAGATTCAATTGTTTTTTCTCCGTGTATTGTCAGTTCTAAAAACGTCCATTGAAGGCTGTAAATAATCTTCTAATATCTCTCTATACTAATAATGATTGAAGCAATCAGTGTAAAGATGCATCAAGCAATAAATGCAAATTGACTTTTCTCCTCCTTAAAGTCTTGACATAACAATAAAAATATAATCCTTGATAATAAAAAAATTCAACCCTTGATATAACAAGGATTGTATTTTTCGCTTTTGAATTTCCTCTCCAAAATCCTTTTCTTGCAATTGATAAGTTCAAAGTTCCAAGAAATTTACTTTTCTCCATTGCTCTACATTCCATGAAGCTCTTTCTTGGCACCGTTTTTTTCGCTTGACGTCTGATTTCTCAATTGCTGGGACCACTTTTGTGCATGCCAGCAACTTGCCCTTTATTTTCAATCAATATTGTCTTTAAACCCATATTTTTGTTTTTGCAATTTTGCAATTTTAACTGAGTTTAAAATGACATTTTCGTTGCTTCAATTTATACTACTTAACTTTTATTGACTATTACTAATCAGCAGAGAGTAATAAACAAAAATCAATTAAAAAGAATCCAAAAAACTTTTTAAATGAGTATGCTACTACTTTTTAAATGAGTGCGCTACTACTCTTTAAATGAGTGGCTAATACTCTTTAAATGAGTATGCTTAATACTTTTTAAATAAGTGCGCTAATACTTTTGCACACTTATTGTCACTCATTTTTAATATATGTATTTAATACTATACCACTAAATCATAATATAATAACACTATACCATTAAATCATATAAATAATGTGCAATTTAAGCAATTTCAGGGAAAACTGAGATAAATTAGTTATTATTATTATTTACTCAAATAAAGTAAACAACAATAGTAGTATTAATAAACTTTTTTATTAATCAGATTTTTTTTTTTAAAGTAAATTATGATATAAGTAAAAAATTTTATAATTTGATTTTAAAATTTAAGTGTAAAATATTAGAAATCTTAGACTAAATCAAAAACGGAACATTCAAACAAAATTCAGACCACAAAATCTACATCATCATAAACAGGTATTTTCTAAAATTTGATTTTAATGAATCTAAAAAAATGAATAATTTAATTCAAAATTCCAATAAAGAGTGCTTGTCTGAGGCATCAGAACCAGATGAAAATTTTATTCAGTTGCTTTTTTACTTTTTTTTTATCCTTCTGTCAGCTCTATATTAATTATTTAACAAGTAATTAACTTTTTTTTATTAAGCAGATAAATTTTGAATAAAAATCTTTTTTTGAAATGCTTCTTTAAAAAAAATTTGTTTTTGTTTTATTTTGAATTTTTCATTTTTTTAAATATAATTTACATTTGCCACCCATTTTGTGGCTCCACCTATGGCTAGTTTATATGAATCATCTTACCAAAGATTTGATATCGAATGTGTCCATGAAGCCCCTCAAATGAGCTTGGTAAAACTGGAGAAAGAATAAAATTGAAAGGAAAAAAAAATCTTCCAGCTTCATTTGTAAACTTTATAGAGTTTCCATGAATCCATACTTGAAATTCAAATAACTTTTCAGACCCATGATAATGATGGGTATGACGATTATCCCCTGTTCCTGTTGTTTCACTCCAATGACATTCTCCTTTTCCTACAATATTAAATTAAAAAAAAAAATTATATCATTATGTAATCTCACAAATGAAACAAAAACAAGAAGCCACTTGAACAATGTAACAACAACAAGGAGCTAATTGAACAATGAAACAATAACAAGAAGCTATTTATTTTACTTTTTACTTTTCGTTAGCAATAATTATAACAATAATTACAATAATAACAACAATAACACTAATAATAATAATAATAATAATAATAATAATAATAATAATAATAATAGCAATAACAACAATAATAATAATAATAATAATAATAATAATAATAACAATAATAATAACAATAATAATAATCAAGCTTTCATAGGAATAAAAGAGTGCACTAACTCTGAATAGCTCTATGTTTTGATGATAGGTTTTTTTATATTTTCACTGAAATTTTATTGAAATAAACTGTTATACATTATATTGTCCTTTTATAAAAACAATTCATCTAACTTCTATATAATTATAAAAATTATTAAATAACTTTTATAATTATATATATATTTTTTATTTCTATATAATTATAAAAGTTTTATATATATATATATATAAAAGTTTCTTTGTGAATAAATCTGAAAAATGTAATACAGGTTTACATCTACTCAAGCCTAATAGATGAAGAAGGAGTTCAAGGTTGTTTAGCAGAATTATTCTGCTTACCCCTAAGGTCTTTGCCTAGGTCTTTCTACAAAACAGTAGTTGGATGCAGTTAACATCTCCCCAAGATGAGTATTTTTATCAAGATACCACTTCTACCCTTTACTCAACCAAGAGCTCCAAGGCAGGGGATTTTTAGGTTGGAGTTTATTTCTCCAAGCATTTGCCTAAAAAAGCTCACTCTACCAAGCAGAAGGGCATGGGGCAGGTAGTACTGGAAAATAATATCAGTAGCAGGATGATGATCCTGAACTTGACCTGACTTGGAGTAATTAAAAGGAGCTACTTCCTGCTAATAGTACCTTTAAATACTGAGGAAGATATATTCAAAGTAAACCGAATAGATCATTAGCTCTTAATGAGTTTGATGATATATCTAATTAAAAATTTCTACTTTTTTAAATCTGAAATTATTAAAATAATTAAGATTAAATTTGAAATATTCAATAATATAGATAAGCTCTCCATCCAACCCAAAATTAAGAAATTACTAAACGATAAATTTATTGAACCAAGTAACTTACCTTGTAGGGCATAAATAGTGATTACAACAAATGAGAGCTTACAACAGCTGATTGCTTAATACATTCTTTATGTTCTGGTTTACTGAATCAAAAATTGTCAAAGAAAGAAAACATAAACTTGACTTATTTGTATATAAGCGATAATAAAATAAAATTAGCTGAGCTTTATAATGCTCTCTGTCTCTAAGGTACTAAAAGGATGAACCATTTTGTAAGTAGTTAGAATCTACCATAATATATAGAAGAGTTAAAATTGTTGTAAACCAGAGCATTACCTGTCCTGAACCAAAACCTTGATTCTACAAACCAACTATTGCTCAACTTATAAAAGTGACTCAACCATTTAAACATTTTAGTATAGTTTTTAAGATACACTTCCAACATCTTTTATTTTTTATTGCTAAGATACTTCTTTGGTTGTAAGGTGTTTTAAGAATTTGTTTTCTTTGTTTGGTCTGCGTATGTCCATTCTGACATAGGTAACTCTATAATATAAGAAGTACGTACTTTTTTGCATACCCGAGGAGCTGCTACAAACAGAACAACACCTTATAATTCCAGAGAAAACAGATAAATAGAGCTTTTTACTTTGCACCACAACAAATGCAACACCACATAAGAGGTTCTTTAATTTTTTACGGAGATCTACAAATAAAGAATATACCAAACTGGTTGTTCAAACAAGGGAAAGTATTCTTAAAAAACATTATAAAACCCTAATTACAGACAAAGTAAGTTTGCTTGATCCAGAATCTATTATTGAATTAAATCCACAAGTGCAAACTAGGCACCTTTTTAGACAATCTAAAAGAAACTGAGAACAAATAGATTTATTGATTTGAAGAATGTTATGAATTTTAACTTGTTATAACTTTATAGCTCTCTTGTGAATTGCTGCTTTACTAGTTATTGTTTTAAATTTCTTAATAAACCTTCTTTATGTATAATCTGTGACATGATGATCAGGGGCGGGATCAAATACATTTGATCAAAAACAAATATGTTAATTTTAGATTTTTAAATACAAATTCAAATACAAATATATGCAACCAGCATTTTACAAATGCAAATATTTATACTTAAGGTTTAAAAAAATATAAAGATTTTTTCAAGACAACAATTGTCTACTAAGAAGAAGAATAAAAACAACCCTTCTTACAAATACCAATTAAAAACAGTTTTTTTATTTTATTTAGTGATAAAAATGAAAAAACAAACAAGGAAACTTGGTTTTTCCAAAAAAACAATGCTTAACCAAGTTTATGGAATTGCAAATACATTTCAATCAAATACAAATATTAAAAAAAAATTTTAAACAAATACATTAAGAATACAAATACAATTTAGCCTATTTTTACCAAATACAGCTACATATTTAACCCCAACCCTGTAATGATATCTAAAGATATATGATATCTAGTGACATATGATAGAAAAAACCTTAATAGTTAAAAGGTGTTATAATTTTACTCATAATACTATTTTTCAAACCTTAATAGTTAAAAGGTGTTATAATTTTACTCATAATACTAATTTGTAATTGCTATTTTTGAAACACAATATCTCACTTATTTAAGTTATATCTTGTAATACTTTCATTTAGTGGTGTTTAAAATAGGTCAAGTTACTGCAAAAAATTGCTGACCTCTTTTCTATATTTTAAAGTAAACCCTCTGTGTCTAATTTCTTTTGCCAACCTCTCACAGTTTAAGGTCAGCAATTTATTGCCAACCTCATTTTTTCTAATTCCGAGGGCTGCAGTTTCAGTTTTAATTTAAAGCTTAAGTTGCAATTATAGTGTAATGTACAAGTAACATATTTAATATTATTACAATATTACTTTGAGTAATTATTTTTAATTAAATACTTAAAAAAACAAAAAACTGTTTAACAACGGGGGTTCATGCTGACAATAAAACACAATGTACTTTTAAAGTGTGTTAAAATGTTATTGTAATAACCTATATAAAAATTTTATATAGTTTTTTACACTAACAATTTAAGAGCCTTTTATGAAAAAATTGTTTTATAATAAACAACAATAAAACAATATTAAAAAAGAATAAGAAGTCAGGGCTCGAATTAACGCAAAAAAATCTTTAACTATTTTATAATTATAATTTTTCTATATAAAAGTTTTATATAACTTTTTACACTAACAGTTTAATACATTTTTATGTGTAATTTGTCTTCCTATCATTTATTTATTGTTTTAGATTAGGAACATATTATGACAGACCAAATTAACTAAAAGTTTTTTATTTTATATTATTAAATTTTAACAAACCTTTTATAAAGTTGAAAATATTATTTAAAAGTATGACAGACCAAATTAACTAAAAGTTTTTTATTTTATATTAATAAATTTTAACAAACCTTTTATAAAGTTGAAAATATTATTTAAAAGTATATATATTATATACTGTTGCAAGTACAACACTTTATTCAAGTGTGGTTTTCTAAAATATTATTTAAAAGTATATAATATATATACTTTTAAATAATATTTTCAACTTTATAAAAGGTTTGTTAAAATTTATTAATATAAAATAAAAAACTTTTAGTTAACTTGGTCTGTCATACTTTTAAATAATATTTTCAACTTTATAAAAGGTTTGTTAAAATTTATTAATATAAAATAAAAAACTTTTAGTTAATTTGATCTGTCATAACTCAAATTATATTTCTTTTTTAGAGACCTACATTATTGTACACTGTCTTTTTACAACTTAAATAATCAATTTTAGTTGTTTTTAAGAATTTATAATAAAAAAGTCTTGCAGTCATATAATAACTTATTGAATGTAACGGATAAAAATTAACAATAGGTAAAGCTAGTGATGTTTTCCCACATAAATTAGCTAAAGTAGCAATCTTCTGCAAGAAACAAATTGGAGCCAAAAAAATATTGCCAAAATTGTCAAATTCTCACAGGCTACAGAAAAATAAATTTCAAACTCAAAACGGAGGTCAAATTAGAAACACACAGAGAGGCTGCCGTGGCTGAGGAAGAATAAGAAGTCAAGGCTCAAATTAACGCAAAAAAATCTAAAAGCAAAAATTTTTTTTTTATAATTCTTTTATAATTATAATTTTTTTATATAAAAGTTTTATATAACTTTTTACACAGTTTAATACCTTTTTATAATGAAATTGTTTTACAAGAAAACAATACTGCGAAGTTGTTTTGTCAATATAAAGAGCTTGTGTTTATATAAAACAATTTTTCTACATTTTTTTATTGCTTTTTATACAGTTTACAACATTAACAGCATAAAACTAAGTGATTTAAAATAATGCAGGGCTATATTTAGGGTGTATCCTACGATGCCCAGGATTCACTTATAATATTTAAATAATTTATAATAAAAACTTTTTGACATTAAAAAAAAATTAAAACTCATAAAATAAAAGTATATATGTATATAGACAAATGTACAGGGCACGATAAATCAATGAACGCTTGTTGAAAAAAAAGACAGAAAAACAAACGTCACATTTCTTTACTTTTACTTATGCAAATGTTGGCATTTGCTTAAAAATTTTTAAAACAAAAACATTACTTTTTTTCAAAAAAATTATGCAAATTATTTTTATAAAAAACGCATATTATAATAATAAAACAATTAGTTACTAAAATTTAAAACACATTTTCAACGGCTTTGAAAGAAACCATGCTAATTGTTTTCTTGCTTATTATTTTCTTCAATAGTGTTACTTATAACTTTAATAACTTCTGCGTTTCTCAATCTCTTACTCAGATAGTTAACTTTGTGACTCATTTTCCTGACAACCCTAATCATTTACCT